GCTCATGAAAAAATTCAAGAGTCATTCCTGCAGTTTGAAGTCCGCAGTCATGTTTTCTGGTGTTCACCTATGGAATGTATTGGTCTGCAATTGGAAATGGATCATTGTCATTCTCAAAGTTTTTCAAAACACTTGAAACCCCAAATGTTCCACATCAATTTCAGTTTGCAGCTTACTGCCCAAACACAGAGATGTTAGGGCAAGCCAACAACTGGGACTTTGAAATAAATAGAAACAAAATGAGTTTTCCAGTTGACTGTGACTGGATTCAGGGAAAGCAGCAATGCAAAGCCAACAGATTATAATGTGTGAGTTCTTCTCTTAAGTCCCCACAAACCCACACTGTGCTCTGCAGATCTCAACAGAAGTCTGAAATAAAATAAGTACACAAGAAAACTAAAAGTGCACCTCTGGTCAATTACAATCAATTAAAAATCAGTTTGTTTTTTTTTAAATGAGAAGTTATAGCTATAATGAAAAGGTCATTTTGAATAATCACTTGCAACAAATCCAATGCAACCTCAATTAGTCAGATTGGATTCTGTTTTTGTTTTTATTATTTAGTGTGGATGGTTTCATTCTTACAGAAATCTATAAAGAGAAGTAATTTTCATTTATTTTAGCTGCTCTATGCTGGAGGGATTTGTTGCTCTACCTCTAAAAAGCTCCATAAGTTTTACTTGATTCAAGTCATATCAGGATAGCTTTAAGCTAACTTTCTTATGTGTTTGGGATCATTAATTCCTCTCCTTCCAAGCTTCGGTAGCATGGGAGTCATCTTTTTATTCATCTAATATTTGGTTGTACAAGCTGCATTCATAATGTCATCTATAAATGTCATCTCTCCTACACCTTCTGCACTCCAAACAAATTTATTTGGATTTTACCTGACCGCAGAATATACTGCAAACATCCATCTGGCTTCTTTTCATGTTCTTTGGCAAAGTTCATTATTGCAGGTTTATAGAGGTTGACTTCATTCATGTCCTTTGCACAGTCTGAGCAGTGACTAAGACACCAGTGTCCACAGGTAATCCTTGGTATCTTGGTATTTCAATGCAAGGCTTCATTGTGCATGTATGTGAATTGTGAATGGAGTAAATAGTATTGGTTCTTCTTCTACCTCTTAACCACTGATGGAACAGCTCATCCTGAGAAGCCTACTGATTCTCCCATCTTTATGAAATGTCACAGTCTGGTTAATTTCGTGTTCAAGGAGGTGGTACCATGTGGAACTGTGTTGCATTAGACACAACCAAGGCTAAAACCGAGGAGCTGGGATATTCATGGCCCATTTTATAACATTGTTAGTGCAATTAACCTTAATTGGAAATCACAGATGGAATCACTTTGTTGTGCCTAGGGAAAGGAGACTGTGTGCTGATAGAGTTTATGACACAGACACAGTAAGTAGTGCACAGTAAATGTTTGTAAGCATGTGCTCTGACTTAATGATAAACTCCTATCAAACCAGTGGACAGAGCAGGGGAAGGATTCCATGGATATAAGGATAAAGGAATGGTGTCAAGGTAAGGGGGTCCAGTGTCCAGCTGAGGGGGGCCAGGGTGTGGGTCCAAATGGTAAGAAATACAGTCATAATCAGACTCAGCTCTATATCATGCAAACATGAATATGAATTAAATATTCTATTGGCAACTCATGTACATATGATTGTAGCAGCACACACTGACAGGAGAAACCGAGCAGGGACCACAAAATACACATCCCAGGAGCAAAAGGAGATCAGAAAAGAACCAAAACATCCATAACACACTTCTGTTCTATCTTGATTCCCATATTTTTAGAGTCTGTATAACCTGTTGTCCACCCCCATGAGTCCTCTATTAACTGAAAAGATGACACGCCGGCGACCAAACTACATCTCACCATCACCTCTGATGGAGAATGTGGAAGTGTTGCTGAGAGTGACAGCTGTTTTCTCAATTCCTCTCATTGTTGTACCAGAACACTGCAGGAAATACATCACCTGTCATCTGTATTACTGTAGTAGCTGCTGCAGTGTGATTACATCCCAGCAGAAATCCTGGTACGTGGGTTACACCCTGCGATGAAAGGGACCAACCTGACACATTTTAGACTTGTCTTTACTTAAATAATTCAAATTTATGCTTCTCAATTGTTTCATTTTGGGTTAATACAGTATATGCGATATTTTTTACGTTTTAATCCTCTACATGTATTGGAGATTTACAAACCTTTTAGGCTCCGAAGTGTTGGTCAGAGAATGTGTTGGAAAAATGTGGGGCTCTTGGTAACTTGCAATTGTGACAGTGCATGTTCTCCCTGTGAGTGTGAATGGTTGTGTGTCTCTGTATGTTTGCCCTGTGAGGTGCTGGCATCTTATAATAAGTTGTATATATAATAGATGGACTATTGTGTCTTTTTCTTGACAGAGTAATAAAAATTCCAGTTCCCAATGAAAGGTAAACCAAAATGCATGTTTAGGACTGGTGCATGTAAACAATAATCCGATGCAAATATCACATTGTGACAATTATTGCATTACTTTCAGTTTAAAGCTATTGTATCTTCTCACTTAGTGAATAAATGATGATTTCTACATAGAACACTCTTTCTCTCCTTCTTTTCAGCCAACTGGAGACTTACTCCTTAGCGTACTCCTCCACAAGAGTGATTCATTCACTTTGACCTTTTTATGAATTAACAAGATTATTATCTGAGAGTTCTGAGGAAAGTTTTCATTAGGATAACAAATTCTTTTTCAAGATCGGAATTAACAAGACACTTCAAAACCTTACCTGCATGGAGACTGCTGCTGCTGCTCCTGCTGCTGTTGCTAATCAGCCTGACCATCTGACCGTGCTATGTAATTTAAAGTCAGGTCAGTGCAGGTCAGAGACCAAGGTGATAGTTTAGCTTCACTTGACCACATCCCACAGAAATTAAATGAGAAATTACAAAAAACTGAACAACTCTGGCCTCGCACATAGCAGTCCCCTCCAAAAGTATTGGAACGGTAAGGAAAATTCCTTTATTTTTGTTGTTCACTGAAGACATTTGGGTTTAAGATCAAAAGATGAGTATGAGACAAGAGTTCAGAATTTCAGCTTTTATTTCCTGGTATTCACATCTAGATGTGTTAAACAACTCACGACATACCACCCTTTGTTTGAACCCTACCATTTTTCAAGTGAGCAAAAGTATTGGAACAAATAATCTT